TTGTAGCAATGGTGCGTGAGGTGCAGCCTGGTAGTTTAGTTGTAGCAATGGTGCGTGAGGTGCAGCCTGGTAGTTTAGTTGTAGCAATGGTGCGTTAGGTGCAGGCTGGTAGTTTAGTTGTAGGAATGGTGTCTGTGGTGCAGCCTGGTAGTTTATTTGTAGCAATGGTGCGTGAGGTGCAGCCTGGTAGTTTAGTTGTAGCAATGGTGCGTGAGGTGCAGCCTGGTAGTTTAGTTGTAGGAATGGTGCGTGAGGTGCAGCCTGGTAGTTTTAACTACAACTTAAAAGTTGTAGGAATATGCGTGAGGTGCACATGATCGGCAATTTGAACACTGAACAACTTTGCAAATTTTTAACTACATTTATTACAATGGAGCTGTTACTCCGAATATTTTAACGCTCACATAAAATGTTATAGCAATTAACGCCAAATGTAATTAAAATCGACGCAAAATAAACAAGTCGTTAGCAAAATATAAAGATATTTGTCACAAAATGCAAGGATATTTTGAATGCCAAATGTAATGTATTCAACACGCAGTTATCTTTTTGTTTCAAAAAACGTTGTCGGGGAGAACGGCGAACGGCGATTGTCGAAGGGAGATGCACGACCGAAAGGAACTATGGTTATACTGTTTTGATAAACGAAATTTCCCTTATTGGATTCACCTTACATAGTCTAAATGACGCTAATGTTTACCATAGACTATTTTACAGTGTTATTTCTCATCAATTAGCAAAACCCATGGCTACTTTCGGTCGTGCAATCGTTGTTCGACAATTGTCATTCGCCATTTAATCCGACAACCTTTTTTAATAAATAAGTATATACAAAATGTAGTGAAACTTCTTTTCCACTCTATGCAATCATCATCCTACCCTAGCCGGGTGTTCCTTGCCGCTCCGAGAGATTTTGTGGACGGATATAAAATTCTTACACAACAAAACTTCATTGGTACGAAGAAAAAAAACCGATTGTAACTACAGCGCCCAAATTACTAACGGTCATTTCAAGATAGTAACAGTACTTATCGAATCACACAATATAGTTCTTTCAAAACACCTGTGGTTTTCTCAGCTTTTTAAATCATCTAATTTATATAAATTAAGCGCCTAAATGAAAAACATGCGCGTATCTGTCAAAAAGAACGACGTAATTGGATTAACCCTCTGATGCCAGCTCAGTTTTCTCGATTTAGGGCCGTTTTTACATTCAAGAGATTAAAAAAACATTCGAGCTCCATAACAGGTGCTGTCAATCAAATTATCATGGATTCATATTCCCTAGGGAACGTGGCTTTCTGTAACGCACGGCTAATTTGAGATTGCTTGCTAGATTAGCCAGCGCACGGTCTCAAATTCGCCAAAAAAGGGTCATTTTCGAGTCATTTTCTGCTACAGAAGCCCCTAGGCCTGCATCATTAAGCTAGACTAGGCGGTTAAGACACTCTTCTGGAAGAAATCAGGAGTGGGGAGCGATTTTTCGAAGACAATGGCGGCAATGCGAATGTCAGTTTGAATTGTTGTCGTTAGAGAAATATCGTATCCCAAGTCTTTCTGTAGCGGATTTCAGACCCTACCAAGGTATATTTGGCAAGTTTTAACACCCAAACAAGGCAATCGGTGCAATATTTTACCGGTAGGTGCGAGTGACTTGGCACTTATAAAATATCTATAAAAACAGGATTGCTGGACATCCCTGTCGATTTGAATCAACATATCCCATGATACTGTTCGGTCGTGCATCTGAGAAAACTGTGTTTGCTGTAGTGAGTCCCAAAAAGGGGGCTTTTGGTCGCTCTGAAAACAATTTAACAAAGCAAAAGTGCAATTGTTCAAGAGACTGAGGATGGAGATTCTCCACACAACCCATTTTCTGCTTGAGAAGGCCATTTTCGCACTGCAATTTAAGTTATAACAAGACGCTTGTCAGCGTGTACTCGGGGTTCTTTTTAGTGTRGTCTCTTGGTTTAATGATACATATAGAATATTGGCAACGTCTTTCATTTTTATAATAACTACAATTATATTTTTTGGTGGCACCACATTTTGTTGTGAGATTGTCATCAATGTAGCTAAAAATTTCTTTCCCAGGAAAAAAAAAATCATACAAGAACAGTTATTTAGAAGAACAGACCCCCGTAATCCTTCGTTATTTCACCTGTACAGTATTGTTGACAATCGGCACTTGAGTCTATTGTTCTTTTATAGTAGTTAGAGCTTTGAATATCAGTAGCTTTTATGATAGAGTCATAACACTTGCACCGTGAAATATGATCAAAATAAACAGTAAATATTAGTGTCTATTTATTGACTAATAGTAGATATTACTGAACCAGAACACAGTTCATGAAAACAAAAGGCAATACACAGGAGACTTGACAACTGCCATCTTTATTTCATGTACAATCAAGACAAAAGACACATCTAGAACTAAAATAACCACACAATACGCAAGGAAACGCGTTTAACGAATCTTTATTTATTTGCGCTGCTGTAGAATCAAGACACAAGA